ATGTAAACCAATAGCTCCCAGCTCAACATCTACCTGTAAACCAGCAGCTCCCAGCACAACATCTACCTGTAAACCAACAGCTCCCAGCTCAACATCTACCTGTAAACCAGCAGCTGCCAGCACAACATCTACCTGTAAACCAGCAGCTCCCAGCCCGGCGCCTACTTGTAAATCAGCAGCTCGCAGCACAACATCTACCTGTAAACCAGCAGCTACCAGCCCGTCCTCTACCTGTAAACCAGCAGCTCCCAATTCAACATCAACCTGTAAACCAGCAGCTCCCCGCACAACATCTACCTGAAAACCAGCAGCTCCCAGCTCAACATCTACCTGTAAACCAACAGCTCCCAGCCGGGCCTCTACCTGTAAACCAGCAGCTCCAAGCCCAAAGTCTACCTGTAAACCAGCAGGTCCCAGCACAACATCTACCTGTAAACCAGCAGCTCCCAGCCTGGCCTCTACCTGTAAAACCAGCAGCTCCAAGCCCAATGTCTACCTGTAAACTAGCAGATCCCAGCACAACATCTACCAGTAAACCAGCAGCTCCCAGCACAACATCTACCTGTAAACCAGCAGCTCCCAGCCTGGCCTCTACCTGTAAACCAGTAGCTCCAAGCCCAACATCTACCTCTAAACCAGCAGCTCCCAGTACAACATCTACCTGTAAACCAGCAGCTCCCAGCCCGGCCTCTACCTGTAAACCAGCAGCTCCAAGCCCAATGTCTACCTGTAAACCAGCAGATCCCAGCACAACATCTACCTGTAAACCAGCAGATCCCAGCACAACATCTACCTGAAAACCAGCAGCTCCCAGCACAACATCTATCTGTAAACCAGCAGCTCCCAGCTCAATATCTACCTGTAGACCTGCAGTGACCAGCAGATCCCAGTTTAGTGTGTCAGTGCACGGCGGATACTAACAGTACCTTTCAAACCTACCTTTCTTTGAAAGCAGCAGTTTTTCGTTCAATTCGCTGAGTGGACCTGATGGTCCAAGAAGGAGCTAGTTAATTGGACCTCTGTACTTACATTGTTATCAGTGCAGATTTAGACTCAGCCAAAAACAGTCAAATATTTATGTTATTGGATGTCAACATTGCTGGCTTGGCTAGCATTTTATTTCCATTCCCTAACTGCCCTGGAAAGGAGATGGTGCTCTGGAGTTGTTGGAATGGAAGTCAGGCGATCCAGGATTATGGCCCAGTGACAGTGAAGGAATCACAACGCATTTCCAAGACAGAATGGAGAGTGGTTTGGAGGGGAGCTGACATGTGACAGTACCTCTATGAATCTGGTCCTTCTAGGTGGTGCGTTTGGAAGGTGCTGAGCAGCGAGGCTTGGCGAGTTGTTACAATTCATCTCGCAGATGCTTCACGCTGCTGTTCCTGTGTGTTGGTGACGGAGACAGTGAATGTTTAAGGTGGTGAACGGGGTGCTGATCAAACAGACTAGGTTAATCTTTATTATTCATTCTTGGATTGTGAACATTGCTGGCAGGGCCTGCATTTGTTGTCTTCGACTTGATTGTGGTGAATCCTGTTCTGCCATCTAACTGTCTGCCCCTAATCCACAGCTACACTCATGTCCAGCTGTCCATGCAGAAGGAGCACCCAGTGTCTACTAATACTCACGATTCCTTTAAGAGAGAGGTGGCCACCACAGGAGGTAGAGTGCTTCCAACTCTATGTTCATTTCGTCCTCAATATACCTCCTTCAGCCTTGGGTAGCTGCAATAATGGTCTTTGCATATAAATTAGCCAATTGGGAGACACAGATGGTTACTGGTGGTGGTTAATAAGTGAGAAAAATACCACAGGTGATTTGGTGATGGGGGAACAAAAAGTTCAGTTGTGTGTCAGAGCACTTCTGGATATAAAGAAAAAGAATAGCTGTGATCTTAATGGAAAGTGCAGGAAAGTCCTGGATGAGACAGCAGCTCTCATGCCAGTGTCACTGGTGCTGCTAGGTAGCTAAAATGTTGACCTGCTAACAATGAAGGGGCAATAAAATGTTTCCAAGTGGGAATGGCGTTGGGAGTTGAATTTGGAGATAATGGCCTGAATCCTCTGTGTCCAGGAATCAACATGTTGCCATTGCTGCTCCTTTGTTTTTGCTTCTTCACTGGGCTCTGTATTTCTGGCTGTGTCTTTCAAACCCCAGGCTTTTCAGAGATGTGGAGTGATATTGGAGTCTTTCTCCGCAACGCAGGCTGGTTCATTGGGAAGACAAGCCACACCTTTTTTACAGTAGTAGTTGGACGTATTCCGCGAGTCTTCATTCGCTAACACACTGAAAAACTTTGAGACATTTAACTAGATTCTCAGTGGGATTGTGGGCTGCAATGGCAGCTGGGTAGGGCTGGGTGCTGCGTGAGGTTACTGCTGGATAGGGTACTGCGGTAACAGAGTGGTGAGGCCAACTTAGCTCAAGTCAGGACTGTCTGGGCAATTGGAGTGTCAGGTTGGGGTTGGGATGGAGGTCCACGGTGATGCCAGAGGGTCAAGGGGTGGGTTGGGGAGTAGTCAGGGGACTTGGATGGTTGGGGGGTGCGCGGTGAAGGTGTATAGAGGGGTTGGGGTTATTGGGGTCTAGTTGAGGGGGTCAGGGATGGAGTCACTGAGTCAGTTGAGTAATCAGGGCGTCAGGGGTTGGTAGGGGCTAGGCCAAAAGGTGGGGCTCAGATGGTAAGGGGGAGTAGTGGTTTGGATGGTCAGTAGAAAGGCTGTGCAGGACAACTGGCGTGTGTGGTTAGTGGTTAGGGGATGGAGTCAGGTGGATGATCTGGCGATGGGGTTAGGGGTAAGGTGGGAGTTGAGGATAGTTGGACAATGTAGGGGGTTCAGTGAACAATCAGGTCTGATCAGTAGGGAGGTAGAGGGTGTCAGTTGAATAAGGTTATCCTGACCAACATCTCTGTCTCAGGCTTGCTGCAGTGCTCCACCATAGCTCAGTGCAAGCTGGAAGAACAACACCTCATTTTCTGCTTGGGGACCCTGCAGCCTTTTGGGCTCAATATTGAGTTCAACAATTTTAGGACTTGAGTCACCTTCACATGGGCTTACCCCAACCCCTCACACACCAGGCTCTGTTATCATAGAGTCTGCTATTTACACCAGCCATTGTTAGCCAATAATTGTCCACTGTTATTTATTAATTCTCCCACATGGACCATTATCCACTCCTTTGTCTGTCCATCTGTTCTTCTCTCTCTTTGGGCTCTATCCCCACCTATCATTTACTTCTTACCCCCTCCCCCGACCCTATCTTCTACATATAAACCAACATTTTCCTATCTACCTTCAGGTCTGAATAAGGATCACTGAACTCGAAACGTTAACTCTGCCTTCTCTCCACAGATGCTGCCAGACCTGCTGAGATTTTCCAGTGATTTCTGTTTTTGTTTGATTTCCAGCATCTGCAGTTCTTTCAGTTTGTATTTCTGTCAGTTGAACAGTTGTGCTAGAGTTTGACGTGATTATAATCTGTCGTTTGCTAGGGACTACCCAGGTAAATAAGGTGGACTTTACCAAGTCTCTGATTTTAACTGACAGAGACATTTATGGAGGGTCCTGTGGAGCCAGGGAATTGTCTGTCAGAAGCATAAACTCCCCAAGCAATTCCTGCTTCATTGGTGCATCAGAATATCGTAGGAATCCCAATGTATATGTTTCAGGATGTGGCTGGTCTCCAGTCATCCAGAGGCTGATGGTTTGGTCCAGTTATGTTCCCATTGCTGTCCATTGTCTTTTGGATTTGATAGGGAACTGCAGTCTATCCTGTGATATTTCATACTGCAACCATGCCCTGCTTGTGTAAAAGTGGAGCTGCAGAAAATAAAGTGGGCCAAGCAGCTTTTTGATTGAATCAGTCATCTTCTGTTGGAGCAGGTCTTCGGTCAACTATTGCTATTCCAGGCTCACGTTGTCAATGGAAAACAGCTTTTATATATCAGCAACGTGTATTAAAAAAAGTAAAAACACAGGTACCTTGTGACAAACCCCATCTGTTTAGTGGCAGGGTTTGAACTAGACACTGAGAGTGGAGCTTGTTAAACAGATTCAGGACGAACCAATTGTCCCAATACAACCAACCTCTACCACTCGGGCCTCAGAATATTACGCACTTGTGAAGAGAGCATAAACTGTCCTGCACGTTATTGAGAAGTGTTCCCTCCTCAGACTGTGGCAGAATAATTGTCATTAACCCAGAAAATGAGGAAGTGATGGCTTGGATTTGCATTCACTGAATAAAAATATATCAGCAATGTATCAGGTTACACACCATTCCCCGTCTGATTTATCAGCACCAGGACTTCAAATCCAGAAAAGAAATTACTGCCAAACTGAAAAACCTGTTTAACCAGTCACTCCAAGTAGCACCAGTGGCGTTGTTCTGTTTAATCTGATTGACCGACTGCAGTTCTTCGGGAACAGAATTTTTTGAAAGTCTTAAGTTTAGAAAGCAGCATCCACATCCTCCAAACATCCCAAAGCTCTTCATGGACAATGGATTACTTTTTGAATTTGACAATATTGTCACATTAGAACTTGTTTTTACCCAGTCTGACAAACAGAGATGTGATCCATTACTAGGTGGCTTGTGTCAGCAGGAATGCTAAGTCAGAACACCAGGGAAAACTCCCCTGCACTTCCTATAGTGATGTCCACCCGTGGGGATAAAAGATCCCTGCTTTAACATCTTGCCCTTAAAACAGCATTGCAGCACTCTCTTATCCCGCACGGTCTGCTCAGATTGTGCAATTGTATCTGGGGTGGGGCCTAAATCTTCAACCTTCAGATTCCAGAGACGAGAAAGCTATCACTAAGCCAAAGTTGACACCATAA